AGTGGCATTTGCAGAATCAGCTTCAGGTTTCTTTGGTTTTGTGCAACTCCTCATAAAATGGCCAGGTTTGCCACAATTCCAACATTCAACCTGCTTCCGGGGTCCAAACTTGCTTTTGCTTCTGTACCTGGATTTTGATCTGTCTCTGGATAAGCCTCTGTCTTGTCTCCTTCCTCGAGTGTTGATGTTGAAAGCTGAACCTGAACTTGAGCTTTCACCCGAGTCTTTTCTTCGTACTTTTTCAGCTAAAATCAGGTCTCGGATATCATCATACTTTAATTTGGATTTTCCAGCTGAGTTGCTTACGGCTGTTCTCATACCTTCCCAACTGCTTGGAAGTGAAGCTAGCAAAATAAGTGCTCGGATCTCATCATCAAACTCAATTTCAACGGATGACAATTGATTTGTGATGGTGTTGAAATTATTAAGATGCTGTGTAACAGAGGTGCTTTCTGTCATCTTCAGGTTGAACAGCTTCTTCATCAAGTGCACTTCGTTATTTGCTGATGGCTTCTCATACATCCCAGACAAGGCTTCCATCAATCTTGCTGTGGATTTCTCTTTTGTAACATTATGAGCAACTCTTCTTGACAATGATAGCCGGATAACGCCCAAGACTTGTCTATCAAGTATTTGCCAATCTTCTTCTGACATGTTTTCTGGCTTGCTCCCCAACAGAGGAAGATGAAGTTTCTTCCCATATAGATAATCTTCAATTTGCATTTTTCAATATCCAAAATCAGTTCCATCAAATTTTTCAATTCCTGCAGCCTTTATTTCATCATCCATTTTTACTCTTTCTCGGATTTGAATCTTAAAAATCTGACCTTACAGATGTGTCCGGAATGGCCAAAAATGCTGGAAACGACACTGAGATCACCCAAATCGGACTTCGGATGGCTCCGACTTAAACAATCAAAAATTGAGATAACTGGACGCTGCAGATGAAGCCACGTGGCAGGAGGAATAGTCTCTGCGCCACACCGGATCAAAACCCAGTTATGCTGACATGGCAAGATGACGTGTCAGACACGTAGGCGATGTGGGGTCCACCTAATCTAACGTGGTAGATCCGCGGAGATTTTCGGCTGACGTGGCAGTGGTGACGTGTCCGATGACCTAGCGGATGACGTGGCGGGTTGACCGGTCAGACTGCTGATGTGGCAGGGTGCGCGGCTGCTGACTGTGCTGGACGGATGACGTGGCTGCTGACATGGCAGTGTCAATTTGCAGGAAACGACGAGGAAGACGCGTGACGCGCGTTGGGCGCGTTTGTGCGCGTGGGCAGTGATGATGACGGCGCGTGCAGGCGCGTGCGGGCATGCAAGACGTCTGATTTTCGCCGGGTTTTCACCAGTGGATTCCTATCGTCGTCCTCTTCACGATGGTATGTTCAAAAACACGTTTTGAGAACTTTGATTTTTGAGTTTGGATCAAACACCCTCTTTTTCAAGAACTTTCAAGAACAAGCTCTGATACCAGTTGTTAGGAGATCCAAACATTCAAACACACACAAATTTCAACGCACGAGCCAAAATAGCAGCCACCTTGCACAATGAAGAAACAAAGATGGATCCTATTTTACAAGAAATCAGAAAGTTTGTTTATCCAAAGATTGGGAAGTTCACCGCACGAAGGCAACTGCTGTGTGAATTGGCTAGCTAATTATGGTCATGGTTTGGAGCTAGGAGCTCACCCTTCTACCAACTTTCCAGAGGGCATTTTCTTCTTTGATTTTTGCTGATATGATGTGGGTATCCTTACCCAGTAGTAGTGTGTTGTGCCCGTTACTACAACAAAAAGAAAAGATAAAGATGGACAATGTCCATTTCTGTTGCATCCTTGATAGGCCATTTGTGTCCACACACATAACAAAGGTCACTTAACAATAAAACATAGAGGTTAATTATTGATACGAATAACAGAGTGACGATTGCAGTATGAGAAATGGTGCAATTTTCATGAGAAAAGCTTGGACATGGACAAGGTAAGAATTTCAGCTTCAACAATTAAACTGTCATTCCTAACATAACGCTTGGAGAATTAATGTAGATCTCCCAGTGGCATTAACTCTCGGAAACCATGTCTATGACTGGAGGAGGTTAACCAATGTGAAACTGCAACAAAATAATCTGTGAGAAACTTTAGTCAATAAGAAGTTCAATAACTAAAACTGGCAAAGATGGAAAAATTTTCATGCCTCAATGTTCACTAAGCAGCCATGAAGTTCACAAATACTGTAGCCACGAGTAATGTTAATTTTCCAAATATTTTTGGAGAAGTGATAAAAATATCTTAGACAACTGTTTTGTTAGGCATTTCCAGTACCATATATGCATCTATCTCTTCTGTCCTTTCTTCAATTGGGATTTTAAGAGGAGGGTGAACATGTTATATCTGTTCTTATGGGGTGGTTTAATTACTTGTTTCTTCGACATGTTTGTCATGGCGTGGGCCCAAAACTCGTAGCTTGTATTCTGCCCACGGTTTTCTTTGGTGGAAGTTCATCACCATGAACTAGTTCCAGGAATACAGATAGTGAATCTCCCTTTGCTTCAGAATTTCCTTTGGGATAAACTTTTATTCTCCTGAAACGATGGCAAGAGCCAAAATTAACAACAAAACTCGAGTGGTTCTCGAATGGAAACGTTTGTGATTATAAGGCAGCATACCATTTTCTCCCTCCAGCAGTAAAGGCTTTGGATAAATATGAGCTCTCATCTAGTTTAGAGAAATCAATAAAATAAGGGAACTTGCGTCTCGTTGTGTTTGGAACCCAAACGAAATTGTTGCTTCCCGACCTTAAGACACGACCATCGAACTCAAAACTTTTCTCCTGTTACAACCAGCCTTCCAACCCAAGCACTCCACACAAAAACTGTCTGATATTTCCCATCCAACGGCTGCGATGACACACATCTCTAATCAGACTCTTGAATCTCTGTTTTTATCGTAGTTATAAAATTAATTTAACTCAAAATCTAAATAGTGAGTTGGGTTGATAGAGGAAAATTGAACCGGTTTTTAATTTAAAAAAACACAAAATATCTAATAGCTCGTTTGTTTATGTTTATTTATGCATTTTGAGTTGTGGTTAAAGTAAAAGGTTGTAAAGTAATATTTTTTATTCTAAACTTAAAATGTATAAAAAACACATATATAAACACTTTTTATATTTTTATAAAAATAATAGTCGGATTTTTTCACTAACTTATATTAATCTTCTAATATCTTGTTTGACATTGCAATCTATTCATGGTTTTTTTAAAAATATTATCTTTAAATTAATTATTTTTTTATGTTTTTAAATTATTTTAATATATAAGTATAAAAAGTATTATTTTAATATATTAAAAAAATAATTTTAAAAACTTATTATCTTAACAAAAAATAATTTTTTTATCTTCCTGCTTGCCACCATCGCCGTCCTATTCTAGGAAGGAATTTCGTAAGATCTAACCTTAACCGGCAAGCATGGCATAGTGGTTTGCGTACGGGTGTGTATAAAAATTTTACTGACTATAATTTTAGTACAGCTTTCCATCTGGAATTTTTTTTTTGAGTTTTTATTTATTTATTTATTATTAGTTCAACTTAAGATAATTATTTTTATTAAAATATTATTATGCTTCCGAGTTATCTTTCTCTCTTTCTTTTCTCTCTCATCTCTGCTTCTTAAAATTTATAACAGCTCATTTTAACCATTTCTTTAAAATTTTGCCCTTCTCAACTACGATAATTACCAAATTATACTATTTTATTAAAACAATTTCTAACCATGCTAGTTTGCCATTTCCCCCCCATACTGTGCTTTAAAGGAAATTTTCTGGGAAAACTTGTGGGGATAGAAAGATTAATAATTTTACTGAATTTTTATTTTTTTATGAAAACATTTCTTGAAAATATCTCATTTATTAAATATCGAGTCATGTTAGTGGGATTCACAAATCCAATGTTTATAATCTTTCAATCATAATTATAAGATCTCACTTGGTTTAGAATTTGAATCACGGGTTGACCAAATCAACCAATAAATTAATAAATTAAAATAATAATATGGTTTATTATGTTTTTTATGAAATAATATCATTATATATATAACACTTAGCGAGTTTTATTTGGAGTTCACCTAGATTAAAAGTTGATTTATTAGGCCATTCAAGTTTAAACAAGTTAACTCTTTAGATGATTTAAGAATACATCCTACCTGATCTAAACTGGATAGAGTTTCGTAACTATGCTTTTAAAAGAAGTGATTTTGGAAAACGTTTTCGGCATTTAAAATTTGTGAACGTTAAAAATAGACTAACTAATGACTACACTTGGCCCTGTTCTCTGGAGTAAAATCTTCAAACTAAAATACTTCCAAGACCTAAAAGACCTGAAGAATATTTGAATTCCAATGAAAGGAGAACCATTTGAAGAGAAGTTTTATTGTATTCTAGAAATAATTAATAAAGAAGCATAATTTATCAACTCGAAGAAGATAACGGATAGAAAATCAAGAGGGGCGACGTTTTTGAGTTTGGATCAAACACCCTTTTTTTCAAGAACTTTCAAGAACAAGCTCTGATACCAGTTGTTAGGAGATCCAAACATTCAAACACACACAAATTTACGTGGTTCGGCAACTTGCCTACTCCACGGAGCTACTGGTTTGTATTAATCAAGCTCAAAAGCAATACAAACAACAAAACAAGGAGGAGGAGTAAACTTCTCAACTCAACTCAACTCTCACCCTTAGCTCTCTCTCTATGTTTCTCTCTATCTCGTGGTCTATCTCAGCTATCAATACATCTTCTATTTATAGCTGAGGAGGGAGATGATTGTTCAATAATGGTGGGCAAGTTAGGCACCTACCATTTGACTATAATTTCAACCATGGCTGCCACCAACCATGGCTGCCACCTACCATGGCTGCCACCGTTCATTTGTGTCCACACACATAACACGACGTCCATTACATAAATAATGTGGTGGTTCCTTGTTAGGAACCTATAATTATACTAGGGATAACAGATTGGCAGCTTATTGATACAAATAATATAGATTGATGACAATCGTGGCCACGAAAATTAAAGGGTGCAATTTTCATGAGAAAAGCTTGGACACGGACAAGGTAAGAATTTCAGCTTCAACAATTAAAGTGTCATTCAAAACATAGCCCTTCGAGACTTCATGGAGATCTCCCAGTGGCATGAACTTGCGGAAACCACGTGTATGGTTGGAGGAGGTTAACCAACGCGAAACTGCAAGAAAGTAATTTGTGAGAAACTTTAGTCAATATAACTAAAACTGGCAAAGATGGAGAACTTTTCATGCCTGTAAGCAGCCGTAGAGAACACAACTACTGGAGGCAGCATGAGTAGTAATGTTAATTTTCCAAAAATATTGTTCTTGACATTACTTCTTAAAAAATCTCATGCATTTACGTAGATCTAACAAAAAACCTGTATGCATCTATCCGCTCTACCCTTTCTTGAATTGGGATTCTTAAAGTAGGGAGAACATGTTTATTAATAAAGAAGCTGGTCTTATGGGGTGGTTTAATTACTTGTTTTTTCGACATGTTTGTCATGGCGTTGGTCCAAAACTCGTAGCTTGCATTCTGCCCACACAGTTTTCTTTGGTGGAAGTTTACCACCATCAACTAGTTCCAGGAATACAGATAGTGAATCTCCCTTTGCTTCAGCATTTCCTTTGGGACTAACGTCTATTCTCCTGAAACGACGGGAAGAGCCAAAATTAACAACAAAACTCAAGAGTGGTTCTCAAACAGAAAAGTTCGTGATTACAAGGCAGCATACCAACTTCTGCCTCGGCAGTAAAGGCTTTGGATAAATATGAGCTCTTATCTAATTTAGAGAAATCTTCAATCTTCCATGTTAAAGAACCATTTGCAGGTTTCTTAACCATAGAAAGTAATTCCCATTTTCCAGTTGGTTCGATAACAAAAATCTCAGCTCCAAAAACACAGCAGTCCTTGACAAGGTATCCATTAGAAGCATCATTCAATGTTTCATGGGAAAGCAATTGATCGAAACCCCATTCGGTCGTCATCTCATGAAAACGTTTTACTAATCCATCCGATTCTACAAAAAAGTAGTTATCCATTTAAATTCAAGAGTATAAACACAAGAAAGTAAAAATTGTTGAAGTAAACTCAATCCAGAAGGTCAACGAAGGTAGTCACCAACTGTCACTGCCCAACCACCAACTGACCAGCCGCCAGCCGCTTTCACACCGTCAGCCACAAACCGCCTTCACACTTGAAGGTTGAATTTTCTTATTTTGATTTCGTGTATAAATAGATAGCTAAGCTTATGCAATTATGTGTGGAGAGATTGAGAGAAACACTAGAGAGAAAGAAAGAAAGAAAGAGGGGTTGTTACTGTAAGCTTTTCATTATTGTAAGCTTGTTGTTCTTGAAATAAAAGAGTGTGTTTTATCCCCTCCAAGTGTTTCAAAGCCACCACAAGTGGTTTCTCCCACCAACAATTGGTATCAGAGCCCTGTTCGTCAGAAAAACAGAGGTATTTTTGGGAAATATCCGAATTTTCAAAGTTGTCAAAAACAAGTTTTGATCATTCCAAAGTGTATAGCTTATCAATACGAACTCAACGGTGCAAAAATCAGATCAATCGGAGCACTAGGTGGACCACACTCTCCGTCTGAAATTTTAGCACTATAGCCCACGCGCCCCGAGGAAGAAGACGAGTGAGCCACACGTGCGCCATATTTGAGCCGCGCCGAGCCACGAGCCATATTCCAAAGCCAAGCCGAGCTCCAAGCCATATTCCAAAGCCAAGCCAAGCTCCGAGCCATATTTTAAAGTCAAAGTAAAAAAGAATATTCCTTGGAATATTCCCGGTTCAACCCAGCAAACCACCCGAATTGGTTTTTGGACCGGTTCGCCCTATTTTGACCTATTTTCTACAAAGTCAGACTGGTTCCCTACTATTTGGACCATTCCAGATCCGTCTACGGTGTCGTTTTTACCAAATTCAACTCCCAAAAAGGTGATATAGTCATTTAAAGAGCAAAATGACTATAGAAAATGCACAAACACTCATCCCGAAGCTAACCAAAGACAACTATGATAGTTGGTGCATCAGATTGAAGGCATTCCTTGGTTCATAAGAGTGTATAGACATTGTGTAATATGGTTATGATGAACCAGAGTCCAAAGAATCAGAAGATGCTTTACCAGAGGTACAAAAGCAAGTCCTCAAAGCCAATAGAAAGAAAGACAACAAAGCAAAGACCATCATTTATCAAGGTCTTGATGAAGCGACATTTGAAATCATTGCTTCTGTAGAAACATCAAAAGAAATGTGGGAGGCTCTCCAACAAAAATATAAAGGTGCTGACAGAATAAAGAAGATTCGTCTCCAATCTTTGCGAGGTGAATTTGAATTATTACAAATGAAGTCCTCAGAATCCATTTCTGATTATCACACAAGAATTATGGTGATAGTCAATCAGATGAGAAGAAACGAAGAAGCCCTTTCAGATGCTCGAATTACTGAGAAAATTTTGAGATCCCTAGATCCAAAATTTGATTTTGTTGTTATTGCTATTGAAGAGTCCAAAGAAGTGGACAAGTTGGCAGTGGATGAGCTTATGAGTTCTTTGCAAGCTCATGAGCAGAAGATTGTAAAAAGAAATGGAGATAAGGCAATTGAGCATGTCTTACAAGCAAAATTGTCTCTCAAAGACAAATATGAGCAAGGGGAGACTTCAACAAGTGGATACACCACTCGAGGAAGAAGTCAACAAACACGAGGAGGATTTCAACGATTTCAAGGTAGAGGTTCTTGGAATACAGGTTTTAGAGAAAGAGGTGGTAAAAACACCACTAGAGGAGGTCGAGGACAACAAACATTCACTCCTAGAGGAAGAGGAGGCAGTTATAATAGCCGTGACAAGAGGAATATTCAGTGTTATAATTGCAATCAATTTGGCCACTATAGCACTGAATGTCAAAAGAAAGCTCCACTGGAGATACGTGAGCGAGTCAACTATACAGAAGAGGATGTCAACAGTAGAGGAGCAGTTGTATTATTTGTCCAACAAGGACTTGACAAGAATCACGAGAATATTTGGTATCTTGATTCTGGAGCCAGCAATCACATGTGTGGCCAACGAGATTTATTTGGTGATTTAGATGAGACCATACAAGGTTTTGTCACCTTTGGAGATACGTCAAAAGTTCCATTCAAAGGTAAAGGCAACATCCCAATCAAGTTGAAGAATGACGATCATAGCTACATCGCCGATGTCTACTATGTCCCAGCCATAAAGCAGAACTTGGTGAGCATAGGTCAACTTTTGGAGAGAGGCTATACACTTTACATGAAGAATTGTCATCTGACAATTACAGACTACAATAGGAGATTAATTGCCTATGTGAAAATGTCCAAGAATAGGATGTTTCCTTTAAACATCCAATATGATGCAGCAAAGTGTTTGGGTGCCATCACCAATAGTGAAGAATGGCTTTGGCACCTGAGGCTTGGACATCTGAATTTCACAAGTCTGAAGATGCTAGCAAGTAAGAAGATGGTCAAAGGTATGCCCCACATTGATCATCTAGAAGAAGTTTGTGAAAGTTGTGTCCTCAGCAAACATCACATATCCAGTTTTGCCAAAGAAGTCAACTGGAAAGCAAACGAGCCACTTGAGTTAGTACACACAGATGCGTGTGGTCCTATAAAGCCTATGTCGACTGGACAAAATAGGTACTTCCTCACTTTTATTGATGATTTTAGCAAAAAGACATGGGTATATTTTTTGAAGAGGAAGTCAGAAGTGTTCAATTGTTTTAAAGATTTTAAAGCAATTGTTAAGAAGCAAAGTGGCTATAAGATCAGAACCGTGAGATTTGATCAAGGTGGAGAATATACAGCAAATGACTTTGAAGCCTTTTATACACAACAAGGCATCAAACATCAGACAACACCAGCTTATACACCACAGCTGAATGGTGTAGCTGAGAGGAAGAATCGAACAATTCTTGATATGGCAAGAAGTCTACTCAAAGCAAAGAAGCTACCCAAGCAATACTAGTCTACTCAAAGCAAAGAAGCTGCCCAAGCAATACTGGGCTGAAGCTGTATCATGTGTAGTATATTTGCTGAACCGCTGCCCAACCAGAAGTTTGCAAGCTGTCACTCTACAAGAAGCATGGAGTGGTCACAAACCAAGTGTTACTCATCGTCGAGTCTTTGGTTATATGGCATATGCAAAGATCCCAGATGCAAGAAGGACCAAACTCGATGATAAAAGTGAGAAATGCATCTTTATCGGATATGGTGAGAGAAGAATGGGATACAAGCTGTATAATCCCATCACCAAGAAGGTAATTATGAGCAGAGATGTTATCTTTGAAGAAGATAAAACTTGGCAATGGAATGATGACCAAGAAGCAGTTAAATGGATCAACACTGATTTGATCCTTGAAGATGAAGAAGTACCAACAGTATTTGCAGAAGGTCCAATAGTACCAGAAGATGAGCCACAAAGTCCGGTACACAGATTTCCTGTATTCAACAGGAGAAACACGCCAGAATCATCATCAACACCATCATTATCAGAACCATCATCAACATCCTCATTAGAAGGACCAAGAAGGATGAGAAATCTAGAAGAGCTGTATGACGCCACTCAAGTAATGAAAGATACAACTCTATTTTGTTTCTTTACAGATAGTGACCCACTTAGCTTCAATGAAGCTATCACAGAAGAGAAGTGGATAAAAGCAATGGATGAAGAAATATATGCCATTGAGAAGAATGATACTTGGAAGCTGACTTATCTACCAGAAAACAAGAAATCAATAGGTGTCAAATGGGTCTATAAGACAAAGAAGAATGCAAAAGGAGAAGTGCAAAGATACAAAGTAAGATTAGCGGCGAAAGGCTACAAACAGAGAGAAGGCATTGACTATGGAGAAGTGTTTGCTCCAGTAGCCCGGCTAGAGACAATTAGACTGATGTTCTCACTAGCAGCACAATATAGATGGAAGATCTATCAACTTGATGTGAAGTCAGCATTTCTGAATGGCTTCCTAAAAGAATAGATTTATGTTGAACAACCACTTGGATACAGTGATGTTGAAAATGAAGGCAAAGTATACAAGTTGAAGAAAGCCCTCTACGATTTGAAGCAAGCTCCGCGTGCTTGGAATACCAGAATCGACAGGTATTTTCAAGATAATGGATTTGAAAAATGTCCATATGAACACGCAATTTATGTGAAAAAAAAAAGCAGATGGCAGCATATTATTTGTGTGCCTATATGTTGATGACTTGATATTCACCGACAACAATCCTATCATGTTCGAAGACTTTAAGAAAAGTATGGTACAAGAGTTTGAGATGACAGACATTGGTCTGATGACACATTTTCTTGGCTTAGAAGTGGTGCAGAAAGAAGAAGGGAACTTTGTATCCCAAAGCAGTTATGCCAAAGATATTCTTGAAAGGTTCAAGATGGAAAGCTGCAATCTCGTATCAACTCCAGTTGAGAATGGAGTGGAATTGAGGAAAAGTAAAGTTGGAAATGTTGATCCAACTTACTTTAAAAGCTTGGTAGGAAGCTTAAGGTACTTGACATGTACCAGACCAGATATACTCTACGGAGTTGGACTGATCAGTAGATATATGGAGAAGTCAGACCAGTCTCATTTGAATGCAGCCAAGAGAATTCTTTGTTACCTCAAAGGCACAATAAATGAAGGTATGTTTTATACCCCAAGTACAAATTTCAATCTTACTGGCTACTCGAATAGTGATTGGGATAGAGATCTGGATGAAAGAAAAAGTACAACAGGGTTTGTATTTTTCATGGGAGATACATCTTTCACATGGTCATCCAAGAAGCAATCGATTGTCATGTTATCAAGCTGTGAAGCTGAGTATGTTGCTGCCAACTCAGTTGTATGCCATTTAATATGGTTAAGGAATTTGCTGAAGTTTTTGGGATTTCCTCAAGAAAATCCTACAGAGATTTATATCAATAATCAATCAGCGATTGCATTGGCAAAGAATCCGGTGTATCATGAAAGAAGTAAACATATTGATACACATCATCACTTTATCCGAGAGTATGTAAAGAACAAAGAAGTCGAGCTGATATCCTGCAAGACAGATGATCAAGTTGCAGATATTTTACCAAGCCATTGAAAAGAGAAGTATTTATCAGATTGAAATTCATGCTTGGAATGACATCCCTCGATTGAGTTTAAGGAGGAGATTTGTTGAAGTAAACTCAATCCAGAAGGTCAAGGAAGGCAGCCACCAGCTGTCACCACCCAGCCACCAACCGACCAGCTGCCAGCCGCCAGCCGCTTTCACACCGTCGGCCACAAACCGCCTTCACACTTGAAGGTTGAATTTTCTTGTTTTGATTTCATGTATAAATAGATAGCTAAGCTTATGCAATTATGTGTGGAGAGATTGAGAGAAATACTAGAGAGAAAGAGAGAAAGAAAGAGGGGTTATTACTGTAAGCTTTTCATTATTGTAAGCTTGTTATTCTTGAAATAAAAGAATGTGTTTTATCCTCTCCGAGTATTTCAAAGTCACCACAAGTGGTTTCTCCCACCAACAAAAATATTAGCAGTGTTGCACATATTATTAGTAAAAGAATCTACCTTGAACCGTCAAATATTTGTTATTTATCTGATAAAAAACAAACAATTTGAATTTGGCGTTGACCTCCCACCGATGAGGAAGATTGCTTGTATTTTCTATTTGCAGGTAAAGGGAAACAAAGTCTTTCCCTTTTCCTTTTGTGTTTCCATTTGGGTAAAGACACAAGCTCCTGGAAACATGAAAAATTATCAGTTGATGAATAACCTCATTATCATCTAACTGAACATTTATTTTGCACGTATAGAATCAAGTATTAGCTAAAGGAAGGTGGTGAGAATCAACAAACCATTTGTGGCCTCCGGCTTCAAAAACATCAGATTCATACTTTTCGACTTTTGTCTTCAGAAGTAAGGAGAATGACTCTATCTTAAAGGGAGTAATGCATTGGAGGTAGATCTCTTTCGGATCTTTTGACTCCTGAAAAAGAAAAGGAAACATATTGGAGGCTGAAAACACATCTATGATTAACGAGAAACCAGCGGGATGCATATCAGAATTCTTGTATGATAGGATCAACTTTTGTAGGTCATGATATACAAAAGTGAAGAGCATCATATACATGACAGATCACTAACAACAAACCAAAAGAAAAGAGTTCCAAAATATGAATAAGAAGCATACCATGTCCTCCGGAGCTCATAGAATCGCACTTCTCTTTCTTGTTCTCCATTGCAGAATACGTAATGTGACTCATGGCCAAAGGGATCAATTAGACCGCCTGAGCCTAAGGATGAGCAAACTAAATTGGTGATAGCATTGCCTGATAGAGTTTACTTATTTAGAAAATTGACAGATGTAGACATTAGACTAATAAAAATATCAGCTTGAAAATTTTGACAATTAAAAAAGACCATGGCTTAAATTTTGACAGTTAAAAAAGACCATGGCTTAAACATTGCTTAATTAATTAACAAGTCATTTTAAGGTCCAGTTGAAACAAGTTCACAGGGGTATAGGGATTAATTAACAAGTAATTTTAAAGTCAGCCTGAGCCAAGTTCACAGGGCTATAGGATAATCAGAGAATAAAATGAAAGCGTCTGAAACATTGACAAATAAATAAAATTCGTTCACAAAGCAGATGAACAATAATCGATTAAACAAAGAATGTGAAGAGCTGGAAGGAATTTTTTAATTAGATCAAGTTGTTGACAGGTTCTATAGTTGATTACTAGCAAGTCAATTCGTTTAAGTGCTTCATCAATGATTGATTATAAGGGAGTGAATAGAGGACTAATGTCATAGAATATTAAGTTTCACACCAGGCAAGTATCCAGGCGCATTTCACCCGAAGAACATAGGAGAAAAAAGGATTAGATAGGGAAAGTCGACCGCCCAAAATGAACTGTCCAATCTTGTTCAAAATAAAAACAAGCAGCACACCAAGTCCGCTGGAGCTCATAGAATCGCAGAACTTTGCTCTTGTTCTCCATTGTAGAATACGTACTGTGACTCGTGGCCACAGTGATCAATTTTAGAGAGATCCTGAACCTAAGGATGAGCAAACCACGTGGGTGATTGCATTACCTGATAGAGTTTACTTTTATAAAAACAGAGAAGTCTAGACATCAGACATATAAAATGATCAACTTGAAAATTTTGGTAGTTAAAGAAAGACCATAGCTTAATCGTGATTAATCAAAAATTCATTTTAAAGTCTTTGAGACAAGTTCACATGGCTAGGGGACAGGTCAGAGAATAAGATGAACGAGTCCGAAACACTGACATCACATTCACAAATAAATGAAAGTCGTTCCACGCAGTAGATGAACAATAATGGATTAAACAGATATTGTGAAGAGTTAGGTGAGGGATTTTGTTTGATCAAGTCGATGTTGAAAGTAAACTTTTTTTTTTTTGAAAAACAAAGGAATTGTTCTACTAGGTAGGAACTAAGTAATCGGTTAAATTAAATGAATCGATTAACCAATTTAAATATAATTAATTGATTAAGCCTGTAAAATTACTTTTCCCTTTTAAAATAGATTACTTTTTAGTTAGTTTAATTTCTTAATTATCTAGGATTTTAAGCCTATAAATAACTTGTAATAAAAAACATAGAATATAAATATAATAGAGATAAAAAATGTATAAAAGAGCTTCAAACATTTTTTTTGTTCTTTAATTTTGCCTTTTTTTTTTGTTAATAAACTCATACCACAATAATTTTCTTCCATCTTTTTTGTTTTTGTTAATAGTCAAAATTTTATTAAGAAAAAAAGCTACAAAGATAATAATCTAACTTACATCAGATAAACAAGTAGATAAAAGAAAGTACAAAAATTGTTACATGAAACAGGGGAGAGCAACAAATGAGGGAATAAACAAATCATAAAAAACCACCTTCTCCTAACTAAACATTCTCTATATTAAGCTCTAAAGAGTTGGAATCAAGCATCAACCATAAAGCAATATTTTGACGCACCATGGAGAAACAAATTTGAAAATTAGGGATAATATTATTAAAAATAACATCATTTCGGTGAAGGCAAAAATTTCAAACAACGCATAAAAAAAAAAAAGCTGCCATAAGAGATTCTGCTACTTGTCTTTAACTATTGAAGACCATTGGTTGATACATTTTATTAAGGTCTTCGTCGTTGATTGATTATAAGGTATTGGATAGATGATTAATGCCATAGAATATTAAGTTTCACACCAATAACTTGGAAGAAAAACAAATAAGATTAGACAGGAAAAGTTCAAATGTTTATATGCGCGACCTCTCAAAATGAATTGTGGCATGCATCACCTCAAGTTCGGGAAATGATTTGTAAAAGGGTGTAAGTTGTTATGTAACTGTACCAGTTCAAGTCAATTATTTTTATTAAAACAAGAGTGTTTTATTTATTTTCTTACAAGATATTAATCTAGTCAGCCTTTACTTTTAATGAAAGGAGAGTCATTTGAGGAGAAATCTTATGGTATTATATAAATAAAATAAAAAAGCATAATGTATCTAACTCAAAGAAGATGGGAAGAAAATCAAGATGGATGACGTTTATTACATAATGTATGCTCTAAAATCCAGTATACTAGGAAACTTGCGTCTCGTTGCGTTCGGCACCCCAATGAAATTGTTGCTTCCCGACCTTAAGACACGACCAACAAACTCAAAACTTTTCCGCTGTTTCAAGCAGCCTTCCAATCCAAGCACTCCACTCAAATACTGTCTGATATTTTCCATCTAATAGCTGCGATGACAGACATCTCTAGTCAGACTCTTGAGTCTGTATCTTTATCATAGTTATAAAATTAATTTGAATTAAAATCTAAATTATGGGTTGGGTTGATACAAGAAAATTGAACCGGTTTTTAATTTTATAAAAATACAAATTATCTAATAGCTTGTTTGTTATGTGTTTTAAATTGTTTTGAGTTATGGTTAAAATAAAAGGCAGTTAAAGTAATATTTTTAGTTTAAATTATAGTTTAAAATGCATAAAAAACACATAGGTAAACACATTTTATATTTTTATAAAAAAATAATTGGATTTTTTTAACTAATCTAAGATGATTGTAAAGTCTGAGATCTTATTTAGCATTGTAGTTGTTGCTATCTAATTTTTAATCTATATTTTGATGAATTTTTTAAAAAAGTAAAAAAATAGTAAAAAGTATTGAAAATCTAAAAAAATATATTTTTAATATATTTGCATTGTTTTTAGTATTTTCTGTGTTGACTAAAAAGAATTTAAATTTTTTAAGGGATTTTCGAATGTGTTTAATTTTTTATGCATTATTTTTTTAAAATCATTAATTTAAATTTTTTAAGGGCTTTTTGAATGTGTTCAATTTTTTACGTGTTATTTTTTTAAAATTATTGATTTTTTTTATTGAATCGATGTTAATATTTGCTTTTTTTTTTTAAATACAAAAACATAAAAAAAAAATTAAATTTAAAAAAAAAATTTAAAGA